TTGTAGATTTGGTTGATATAACTGTTATAGGTTCAACCAAAACTACTAAGCCCATCTATATATATATATATAGATCGTGAAATCGCTGATTGTACCTATTATTAAAAATTTTTAGTAACGAAATTGACTGCTGCGAACTTTTATCTAAGTTAAATATTAATATTCCGTCAAGAACTCGCTATAACCCACCGCTGAGTGTACCATTTGCACTGACGAACTATAGAAAAAAATCTTTTTGTTGCGTTCAAATTATTGCAAACATATTCAATATTAACTATCGTTTAAAAACTAAAAATAACGCTTTTGTACCAACCAACCTAAGACGTAGAAAATAATTTTCTATAAGTTCATAAAGATTAAATATTATATCGCAAAAATGCGTGGTGTCTGTCTCAAGTATTGTAAATAGTTTATTGACAGGTATTGGTAAAAGCCAATCTATGATATTATAAAATAATTATCTTGAAAAGCATCCCACGCTTTTGTTGTAAGTCATCTTGGCGCTTAATTAAAAAGTCTTGACAACAAGTCAAGGTTTCTTGAATTCTACGAATTGCGCAACGCCGCATTTATTTGACCACGAGTTTGTGTACTTGTTTGAGATGTCTGGAACTGTTGAAAATTACAATTTATTTCTAACGCACTCTTTAACAAAAGCCTTTGGTTCTCCAACCCTCTAAGCTCTACCGCTGATAAGACTGAAACTTTCAGATCAAAAAGTACCCGGCATTTTTAACAAAACGAAAACTGTTCAATATTCATTTTATTCCTGTCTTTTTAGAAATTCCGACTCATCTATTAATCTATAACACTTTCTATAGTTTGATTAAGGAATCGTTACAAGTTCTTCATGCTAATTATCGTTAGTCACTTTTCGCATCAAAACCTGTCAATCAATCAATCAACAGCCTATAATAGTCCACTGCTGGTCATGAGTCTCTCCTTAGAAAGGAGGTTTTGGCCTACTATACCACGCTGGCCAGTCGGGTTGGTATAGGGTTTGTTTCAAGTTTTCCTTCTCTGTGCTGTTGTTTTATAGTTTAGTCCCTTAATCAGCTCTCACGACACCCACGCGATGAATAGGGGTGGTGACACTCCGTATTCTTTACCCGTCACCACACAGAATTATTGTATGGTGTAAATAGGCCGGCTCGACCGGAGTGCTACCACGACCTCACAGAAAATCGGTGTCACTTTTCGTTATCTTTTACCGTGTGAGTGAGGTTACCGGAGCTCAAACCCTCGCCCTCGCCTAGGGTTTGTTTCAAGTTTTCCTTCTCTTTGCAGTGCTGTTGTTTGCTCTCACGACACCCACGAGATGAATAGGGTTGATGACATTCCGTATTCTTATCCGTCACCACATCTGTAAAGTATATGAAATATATATATAATTATAAATATATATACATATGAAAGTTGATGAAATGGTAAATATAAGAAATGTAAGTAAGTTCATAACCGTCAAAGAAACCGCAACTTAATTGCTTTAAAACACTTATGCATTATCAAATCTAAGCCCCTTCTAGTTAAGTCGACACTGATTGTTCATTGATTCGTTAATTGAGTAAGAAAATCTATAAATAAAATAGAACAAGGCTAATGATTATAATGGATGATTCAAAGCTAGCCTCTATATGAAACACCATGAATATATTATGAAGATAGTACATCATAGGACTTGATATTTATGAATCTTAGATGATTTTAGAGCGTTCACTGGGTTGGTAGGGTCGCCGTTTATTTTTGCTGTATTCGAAGGCAGATATCATTGATTGCTTGACCCGATCTCATTGATTAGTTCAGGCCAAAATGGATAGTAACTGGTGGTCATTTCTATGAGAGTGCTGATATTTATTTAGGTTCACATCACATCATCACATCAACAGCCTTTAATAGTCCACTGCTTAGTAGTAATAGTCCACTTAAATCAGGTAGTTCGAAGACAAACGCCTATCATCACCTACATCATTATGAACAGTCTATAACAGTCAACTGCTGGACATAAGCCTCTCCTTAGAAAGGAGGTTTTGGCCTACTATACCACGCTGGCCAGACGGGTTGGTATAGGGATTGTATCAAGTTTTCCTTCTCTTTGCAGTGCTGGTGTCCGGCGTTGTTTTGCGCCCTTAGTCGCCTCTTACGACATCCACGGGATGAATTGGGGTAGTGTCATTCCGTATTCTTAATTCGTCACTATTTAGGTTATTGATCTTGATTACAACAATTTTGGGGTGATTCTCAGTGTAAGTTTAGTGAAGTATAGTTTCTAGTGATCACAAATATTAAAGCTTTCTAGAAGTTTTAGTAACACTGAATAATTGCAGTTTCTTGAACTGTATATTTGACCTGACGGTAGCTAACCAGACGATTATTGTTACTAGATTTTTCTTCTGGTGTATGAGTCGGTAGCAAGCAAGCAGTTTTTAATTGACATCTTTTGATTTCGTTTAAACTTATTTTGGAGTGTAGTGGTAAGGAGAACAGTCTCCGTCGGAGAATTAGGGAGGGAAGTTGAAAAAGTGTCCATATGTATACTGAAAATAGAGTCTAATTATTATTTAAACCAATATCAATTTATCCAAGGCTACCGCAGCGCCACCCTTATTGGACGCCATTTATCACTTCAAGTTATCAATTCGGATGTTTTTATGTATGTTCGGGCATAACTCGGTCGGATATAGAAGGATTTTCAAAGGAACTCTTCAAAAAATGACAGCAAATCAACCGCGATTACTGCTAGGCTTTTTGCTTTTGTATTGCTTGAAGCTGCTTTAACTTTTTTTTTAAGGATTTATATTCTTTCCAATATTCTTATCGCTAAGCTATTAGTTATAATAATTCCTTTGATATTAGGGGTTAAAGTATGAAATTGCCGAATAATTGAAACTCGTTTTTTTAAAGATATAACATATTTTTTTAATTAAAATATTTTCTCTCATTATCTATACGTTGCTGCCATCTAAACGGAAGTCATTTATGCCTTTACGATAGAACTATGGGGATCTAGATTCGACAAACTGTGTGAAGGTATTTTGTACTGCCATCCTGGGAATATTTTTCTTAATCACATAGAAAATTGTAGAAATCACAAAAGAAATGGTAGTCTGTTGGAGCAAGGTCTGGCGAGTACGGAGCATGCTGTATGGCTTCTAACTGCAGCTCCTGTAGAGTTGCAGAGGTTTCTCGTGCAGTGTAAGGTCTTGCGTTATCATGGAGCAATAATGGTGAAGATCACGAGTTGGGGCTATTTTACTACCAGTTTTCGCCATCATTGTTCGAAGTTCGGCACAGTTAACATCTGCTGTTATTGCCTGACCAGAACTGAGAAAGCTATAGTGAGTAACAGATACAGACTAACATGAAGAGATCACCAAATAGTTATCATTACCTTGTTATTGGTTAGCTTTGCTTTAGGGCACTATTGCGGGAAGTGGCGGCGAGCGCGTTGCGAAGCGTGCTCGCTTCCAGGGAGCCATGGGGTTCCCACAAGGGGGGGGGGGGTCGTCTACTCGTCTGTAGATGGCCCGAGGTATGTCGGGGCCAGGGACCTGGTTCCCCGGCAATTAGTACCGAGACGGCGTGCGGTTTTTAGTCGGTTCGAGTCCGACATGCCACCATGGTGGTATCCGAAGGGATTTCCGCACGGAAAAAAAAAAAACAGGGCACTGTTGCGGCGTTTGACTTGGGGTCAGTCATTGTATTTCTCGCTTACGGTTATCGTAAACAATCCACTTTTCGTCACATGTCATGTCACATGTCATGAATTTCTGTATAGATTCAACAAGGCAAGACAAGTTTCAACACACATTTTTTTCTGTAGGTCAGTCAGATCATGCACCCACTTTTTATTTCTTTTTATCTTATTGATTTGATGCAAATGAGCCAATATTGTAGGTAGGGTAACGTTAAAATATGCCGCTAATTCCTGGGTAGTTTATTTGGATCAGCTTTAACCATCGCCTTCAATTCAACATTATTCACCTGTGTGTCTTCCACGTGGTTAGTTCTTCAAGTCGAAGTTTCCATTACGAAAGCGTTTAAACCAAAAACGTGCGTTCATTAGCAGTCCTTCTCTTAACGCAGCGTTGATATTGAGAGCTGTTTCTGCCTCTTTAGTTCCGCGTCGGAACTCGTATTCAAAAATTACTCAGATTTTCAAAGTATCCATCTTTCACGTCTAAGCTGAATAAAAAAATCGAAAATTGAATGTTGCACATTTTTTAAAAGAAGACCCTCATAGGTATCATGTGAAAAAAGTTTCACACGAAAATCTTACACCATAAAGGTTTTATTCAATTTAATTCAAAAGTATTTTTTTTTCCGTGCGGATATCCCCTCGGATACCACCTATCACCTATGGCCTCACCTGTCACCCCCAGGCCTGCGCTTATGGAGGACGGAGGTCGGAGTCGCCTGCGGTACCTAGCCCGTTCCCGGGCCTGGCGGGCCGGGAGAGTTCTAAACCTCTCCTGGTCCCGCTCCGCCATCTCCTTCGCGAGCATAACTTGCTCGCAGAAGGAGACGGCAGCCCCCTGGACACCTGCAAGTCAGAAGCATGTTGCCCGCGTTTAGTTTGAGTGGGGCGGTGAACATCAATTAATCCCCCTGAATTAAAAGCAGGGGTGGGTTGGACTTTGGTGCCTCACTCTTTCGTTGAAAAGCTACGAAAGCAAAAATAATCAATCGACTTTATCAAAATTTTCTTCAAACCTACCTTTTACCCGAAGTACAGCTGACAAATTATAATGATAACATCTCACACACGGCAGTCTGATCCCAAACTAGGCAGAGCGTGTACTATGGTAACTAGACTGCTGATAATCATATTATACATATTATAGATAAATTACACCCAGACAGAACAAATGACAGTGCTCATCACACAATATTTATTCTGGGTGAGAACCGAACCCACGACCTCCGGCTTAGCAGTCGGGGTCATTAACCACTAGACCAACAGGCCCGTCGTATTTATACAATTTTACTTTCTTTTTTTCAAGATATGACAAATTGTTACTGTCCAAGAATCCTCGCGCGGCTGAAATGGCCCGCCAGAACACTGAACCGGTAGAGAAGGCTCCAGCACCAACCGAGGTACCAGCTCCTCTCAAGGATAGTCTATCACCGCCTCCGACACAGCAGTTCGGTGTATCACTACAATTTATTAAGGAAAATAATGTCAACATGGTCGGCTCGATACCTCCTGTTGTGAGACAATGCGTTGAATTCTTGTCACAGCCTGACGGTGAGTACGAACGTTCAGAGAATTGTCGCCAATTCAAACAGTCAAACACAAGGCTAATGTTAATGGTAGAGTCAGATTTATAGCTGAAACTGTAGCTGCTAACAGATATCTTGAAGCTGAAAAGTTGAATATCACCCGAATATTTTATCAATTGAATTTCTGTGGGTTTTCTTTCGTGTATTTGGGAGAGGAGGTCGTGTCTTCTGAAGTCGCTGAGTCTCGGAACGATTCTGGTGCGGCGGCAGTAGTCGCGAGTTCGAGTCTCGCTTAATACAAATATTTTTATGTATCAGGTATGTCTATTTGCATTAGCCTTGGTGTTTACAAAAATAAAATCCATTGTAGAAACTCTGCTAACTTTTGCTATAGTCAAGATAGAGCTGTGTATTACACAGAATATTGAGTAACTTCTAGTGTCTTTGGTTATGTTCTTTATTTCTTTTTGACGTGAAATCTTTTGATTTTTTTTTAGATGGGCAAAAACCATTGAACTCGCGACACCGTTACCTTTACCGACACCTCTGTATATCTTAATATATTGGCCCCGTTTACACGAGAATTGAGTTTAGGTGGAAATACATTGATAATAAAACTATAAATATTATAAACATATATTCTGTATATACGTACAACATAGATATATATTCATGTCGGAACTATTTGAATCGTTAAAAACAAAAAAATCCTGTTATAAAAAAAAAATGTTCAAGTTTTCAATTTTGTCTTCTTTCCCGGAGTGCCACTGTTTTATTTTTATGAAATAAGGGGCAAGGGAGCAGACGGGTCACCTGATGTTAAGTGATTACCGCTGCCAATGAAGAGAGGAGTCACAAATGCGTTACTACCTTTTGAGTGCCTAACAAAATTTATAGGAAGGTAACCAGAGATAAACCACCCCCGGATTATATCTGGTTACTCGGTGAAAAGTAACAAAAAATATATTTGTCAGCGGTTTTAACCCAGATACTCGTAAGCCTACTGGTCCCATATGTCTGCAATGGCAATTTTAGATATAATTTTCAAGAAAATATATGGGAAATATATTATAACTGCACCTTTTCAATTTTTATTTCAATAGCACATTAGCTTGTCACTACAAATCCATTAAATATATTCTGTTAATGTGTGCGTAAGTTGAATTTTTTTTTCTACCGTCCTACATATGGGACAGGAGGCTTATCTGGGTTAATTCCTATGTCACCTGTTTATATAATATGCTATGATGCCATTTCAGCTCTAGAAACCGAGGGCTTATTCCGTCGTTCAGCTAATATATCCGTGACCAAGGAGCTTCAGCGCTCATGCAACAGGGGAGAGCCAGTGAGGTTCAGGAACGACCCTCACAACGCGGCCGTGCTGCTCAAGACCTTCCTCAGAGACTTAGAAGAGCCACTCATGACCTTCGACTTGTATGACGAGATACTCAAGTTTCAGAGTAAGTTATTCTTTTTTTTTTTATCCTATTTGAGGGGGGGAGGGGGTTACGATCAGAAGGGTCAACTGATGGAAAGTGGCTACCGGCACCTATGAACGCCTGATATTAATATATGAAGATAATTCTTTGTACTCACTACGTTTGAATACTTAATTTGTATGTACATGAACTAAAGTTTTTAAACTATATACCTATATAGTTAAAATAGTAATTAACCAGCTTTTTGCCCGCGACTCCGCCCGCGTAAATGTCAGTTATCGCGGTAAAAAGTAGCATATGTCTTTCAGCAACAATCAAAGTGTCTCCATACCAAATTAAATCTAAATTTAGTGTTTAAAATATAATGGTGCTAATTCTGTTGTTCGAAAACTCTCTAAACTAAACTAAAAATCACTAAAAATTTGTTTAGTCCTGTCAAATAACGTTTCGTATTCTGAAAACGTAATACTTGACATCAACAGCCTTGAATAGTCCACTGCTGGACATAGGCCTCTCCTTAGAAAGAAGGTTTTGGCCTACGTAATACTTGACAGGACTAAACTAATTTTTAGTGATTTTAGTTTAGTTTAGTGAGTTTTCGAACAACAGAATTAGTACCATTAGTTCGCCAGAATTATACAACATTATTAAAGTTGAGAATTATCCTTCATTATCTTTTTTTTTTGTTATTTTCAAACTACATTAAGTAGTAAATTACTTGACAATAGCTAGGTATGACGTGGACCTTTACCTTGGTCTTTCGTCATGATGGTAAGAATTTTGTGAAGTGGAAACTTCTTTAGGCGCGTTGGGCATTTTTTTTGAACTCGCGACACTGTTACCGTTACCGACACCTCTGTATATAAGTTTTCACTTCAGTCGGCTCTCCCGACCGTGCCATTGTTTTTTTTTATGGAATTAGGGTTGTAAACTGCAAAAAGAAGGAAAACTTGATACAAACCCTATACCAACCCCGTCTGGCCAGCGTAATATGATAGGCCAAAACCTCCTCTGGAAGGAGAGGCCTATATCCAGCAGTGGACCATTAAAAGCTGTTGATGATGATGATGTTGATAAGTGAATAGATCAACATGGGAATGTCGTGGAATGTCTGACTAATACACTTTGTCAAAACATATCTAAATTATGATTCATCTTTATAATTCAGTACACTCTCCACGGTAAAAAGCAGTATTAGTACCTATTGTAGGCAGGCGGAGAAAAAATTCTTGTCTTCTTGTCTTGTCATGTTTTTTAACCTAATTCCTAAACGGCTGGACCGGTTTGGATGAAATTGTGTGTATATTTCAATTGGTTCTCGGATGGTTTGAAAACACAATTGGACTCGGTAGGTGGCGCTGGTTTGTACGTCACCAAATTTATTAATTCTAAGGCGGTACGAAGTTCGCCGGGTGAGTTAGTTTAGTGTAAATATGTACTAAATGAGGTTTATGGATTGGTTGCAGCTTGGTCTAACCGCGATAAGCCGAGGCAGGTCAAGATATTGATTCTGGAGAGGCTGCCGCTGGACAACTACAAGCTACTGAAATATATTATTCAGTTCTTATGGAAGGTATGTATTATTTCTTTTTGTTTGTTTTCTGCATTACGAATATATCCTGGGTCGCCGGGGACTTTACAGACATACATGAAACGGACACAAAGTACACCCAGACTCAGAACTACAATTTGTGGATCACACAAAGTGTCGTCCCATGTGGGGATCGAACCCACAACACTCAGTAGTAGAGAGCGGCGTGACCGCTTAAACCACTACGCCATCTGTGCAGTCAAATATTGTAGACTATTACTGCATTTGTATAACCTGTTGGTCCAGTATGTTATGATCCTCACTCATGAGACAGATATTTTGGGTTCGAATCCTATACAATGACAAAATAATTGGGTGTTGGTTAGTGACTCTGACTGCTACGCCAGATGTTGTGGGTTCGATTCCCACCCAGAACAAATAATTGTGAGCACAGTCATTTGTAGTGTCTTTGTGTACTTTATCCTTGTGGGCGCTGCAGGCCTCAAGGGGGCGGTAAGAGACTCGGTTGTGTAGAGGCTTAGGGGGGCCGATTTAGGTGAAAAATGGGGCGCTAAAAATAATTTATGCTCAAAGTGACAGAGTAGACAAAATAAGTTTGGGAACCCCAGCTTTAGAGACTAGTCATTAGAGGACATCAATATTTTTTTCAATAAAGTTATTTCGTTAGTTTTAGTCAGTTTTTTTAATGATATTCGATGATTATAATTATAGTATTATTTTTAGGTCCAAGATAGGAGCTGTCTCAACAAAATGACCAGCAGCAACCTGGCGGTGGTGTTCGGCCCTAACTTGGCTTGGCCCCCGAACGGACAAATGTCGCTTCAAGCGATTGTACCCATCAAACGCGTTCACTGATTTCCTTCTAGAGAATCAGGAATCTATTTTTATTATTTAAGCAGATTTGGAGAAGGAGGTATTCTTTAAAGTCAATCGTATATATGGAAATTATGAAACGTATTGTATGTATTATTTTCAGACGCTAAAGTTACAAAAACTGAATCATGAAACACCAAGGAGGTTTAACAATGGCTATTTATAACTTACTACTAAACGTCAAAATGATAAATTTGAATTAAAAATTATCTCTGGACATACCATAAACTATAACTCGAGTGTCGACATATTTATCTACTGAATGACAAATACTATCTCTAATAGTAGACATTTCCTTGAAGTTTATGATAGTACATACTTTAGTTCTGAATGTGTAGACTGGGGCGTATTAACCGCCCACGTTTTGCTGTCGTATTATGTAATCTTCGTCTGTAATGTAATGTTCGTCTGTACTGTAACATTAGTCCCAATTGTATAATATACAAGACGTCTATTACGGTCAACCGGGCACTGGGAATGTTGTGAGTAAAACTAAAGGTAGGGATTAAGTGGTAGGCAAGGGATGTTTGCTTATACGGATGAATTGGGGTGTGAATAATATCTTGGGCAGCCCAGGGTCGTACCTTTAAGACGAATTGGCTGTAGCCCAGTACTCAGAGCCAACTCAGCTCAGCCCAGAGCCCTCGACCTCCTGTTTATGTGACTAGCTATTCTGAAAATAAAAATCAGGAAAATAACGTATTCTAAATTTTTTTTAAACGTGTTTGTAACCTTGTATGTTTAGAACAAGTAGATTGGTTTTCAAAATTGCCAAATTTTTCGCAGGAGATGGAGTTAGATAAGAGATGTATACTCTACTTTTTTGTAATGGTGGAATTTTGAATTTATATGTACATTGATGTTTTGTATGTAGGTATGCTATCTGGTGTGTTTATAGAGTATTATACTGATACGTTAGTAGTGATGATTTAGGAGAAAAAATGTTTCTATTTAGAATCTTTTATTAGCTTTTTTTATTATTTTCTTGCGAGATTATACATACATATAATATAATATAATGTCCCATCGAATGTCCTGGTATTTTACAATCAACAAACAAACATCTTAAAAAAATATAACTGCTTATTAATATAATTTCAGCAACTCATAAAAATGGACATGTTTTTAACATGTCCTATTATGCTTTTTTCTGCTTCTACATAATACACATAGTAAAGGTTACGTAAGTTGCTAAGCTAATTTTCGATTCCATCCAAGAGGAATCCCAGGACGTCCATATAATGCAATTTAATACGAAATAGTTGCTTATCTGTTTATAAAAACCGCGGTTCTCTAGCTGAAATTGAAATGAACATGACCTAACCTCCTTTTATAAAATAACAAAAAGTCTTGATGAATTATATAAAACCTTTTTGGTGTTAATTATCCTTACATGTGTCTAGACCAGTACACCTGAAATTGATAAGACGATTTCAACTTTGACAATATTTGAAGGCCTGAGCACATTTTATAAATTGATTTCGTTTTTTTTGCTCTTAAATCGTTTGTGCATTACTAGATTTAAAACATTATTAGAAAGAGATGATTGTACCTTCTTTTTATAGTTTATATATATGTGTAGAGTAATAACTTAGTTTAAAAAAAAACATAATATTGTTATATGTACCTTATTGTGTTATTTAGTGTCGAGAGATCGAAGGTTTTCAGTATATGCATATATCGCACAAGTGTTTGGTGCAGCTTCGTAAAATAGAACGTGAGAATTGTTATGAAAAAAAATAATTAAAAAGAAAACTTACCTTAGACTCCACACATAACACTCCTCTTTTTATTCTAAATAGTTCTAGTTTTTAAACTAATGAGATCATTCCTTCTTTATTTTCTTATAGTTTATTCATTTACATTCTTGAGCATATATATACAACCATTGATTTATCTTTCAATTTTACACTGATCTTTTAATGAAATTTAAAATTTAAAATAAATTCTTAGAAGACAACTTCGTTTTACATTATTGTCAGCTATAAAAAAGAACGAAGGACTAAAAAGTGCGAATGTTGCAAGGACTGATAGAAATTAATAGATCTGATGATACAGGACAGGTGGTGGTCTGAGTATAGGTTTAGAATCAAACCGTTATAGGCCCTATTCTTTAGCGGTTTAAAATGGTTTTACATTGTCGCATTTGTACAATGATAAACCGCCAAAATTAAAATGGGGCTATACCGCCTTACATATATCAATGAGACAATATTTTTCACGTTAGAATCATATAATTTGATTTGGAAGTTCGAGTTTTTTGAGGACTTGAATATATTATATTAGTTATGTCTGGTTAGTACAATAATAATATTTTAAATATAGTAGTATAAAATACGAATGGTAACAATATATATATATATATATATATATATATAGGTGAATTCTTCTATGGTATCATGATGAGTTATGTGATCGAGAATGATTCTTCTGTTCTATGAAGTTCTGTCCCGTATTCAACATATCAAATTATTTACTGGCAGAACAAATACAATCGTTTGTTACGTGTCTGGGTGTAATTTATCTATTACATGTGTCTATTTAGTAAAATATAAGTATGTTTATCGGCGGTCTGGTTAACATAGTACAGACTTGTGGATCAGACGACCGTTCGTGAGATGTGTCAAGTTATTGTTGTTCACTTACTATTGTTATTCTCGTATTGTTCGTATATCAAGCTATATTATAATAATAGACATCTTTACATGCAATATATTTATCATGCCTCTAAAGTTTTGTTACCTTACGATAAAACCGACGATATTATGTCGACGGTTGTTAGTATAAGTACCCAAGGTATGTAATTATACCTATTTATATATCCAATGCCTAGAAATTAAAAAAAATAATGTGGGTTCTTAATTTCAAATCCATTTTGCCTCTAAAATTGGTGGCGATCAACGACGCTGTGCTGACACTGATTGTTATATACATATATTGTTTATTATGTAGACATATTATCTCATTCGATATACATTATTATAATAATAATATAGAATAATTTTAATTATCACCGTGTATGTTGAATCATTCTCGTTATTTGCAAAATCCAAATACTTTATATTAATTGATTCATTAAGATTTTCCTGCGGTTTCGCTTCGGTAAAAATGCTTTGATTTTCATATCTTTTTGTACTTTTTTTGTCGATGTGTATACAATGTTGTATCCTGGCAGTTTGGATGCAAAACTTCATAATTACTGTATAAACGGTTCTTTATCATACAAAATATGTACAAATACACTCAAAACGGGTAAATTATTAATAACCTTTGTTTAAAAGAATAGGAAGGAACAGAAACAGCTTACAAAACTTGAACATAGATAAAACTGTCAAACGAGCGTTATTCGAATTTCAAATAACACTTTTCTTTTAAATTTAATGGCCATTTAGCCATGGATCTGAAAATTGATCCTAATGAGAATGATTCCTTTAGTTTGTGGTCTAACGTAGAAAAATTAAAAGAAATAAGTTTTACTTTATGATGTACCAAAAATAACAAAGAGTAGAGGTTATATAGTTTTAAGAAACACATTTGATTAGTTATTATTGCAATAGTATTATGTTACATTAGGATTCTATTTCTGTTTATAACTAGTCTCTGAAGCTTTGATCGAAATTGAGTTTGTTTAGATTTTATCTGGACTCTTAAAGTAATATATAATGTACCTTTCTAATATACATATATAGTATTATTATTACAAGTATAATTTACTGTATCTGATGGAAAATGAGCTCTTTATTGTGCAGAGTGTCTATCAAACCAAATGTCAAAAGTAAAGTATGAATATTAAAAAATGTTGCTAAAGTTCAAAATAAGTAATGTTCCCAATATCCCGTTGATTGGGTAATTTCTGCATAACTAAGTCCATAGTAATGAAAATATACACGTACATTGATGCAGATATAACAGTATGTGGAATTCTGAGCTCATAAGAGATATGGCAACACTGTTTTAATTATACACAAATTTATGGACCACTCAGGCCTGACCAAAAAGAAATTAGTTACCGCTAAAAAGGAAACCATAGATTAAATTAATCATCATCTTCGCAGTCCACTGCTGGACATAGGCCTCTCCCATGCACGTCACTTAGATCGATTTTGGCAAAATAGTAAAAAGGTGTTATTTTTTATACAGGAATAAGAGTTTTCTTGACTGGTATACACATTCTGCGTATTTCAGGCGCTTTATCTCTTGACAAAGGTTTCCTGTTAGGTCCATAACCAGTCCGTACACGAAATTCACCGTACCGTATACTTTATAACGATGTTATTTGTACCGTTTGATATAAAATACCAACCTCTAATTAATAAAAATAAAAACATTTTAATTAACAAAGACAAATTAAATATATTTACTAGTAGTAGCCAACATTTTACCTTTTTTTTTTCAATCCTCGGAATTAGTTTACCATAATAACAGCTTGGGTATTAAAAATATTGATAAATAAAACATGGTGTCCCAACTTGTTCTGTACAGATTACGTTTCGGTACACACAAAAATAAATTCTAACATGTGATTGTAAGAAAAGAAAACGGCCCAAATTAGCGTCTGATCATGAAACTATCACAAAGAAGATCAGCCGTTTGCTGAAACAGTTTTGCCTTTATATTTAGAGATAAGATGTCCTCATACTGCCTAAGGTACAAAAATTAAGCTAAAATCCCTTTACTTATATATTTAGGAATACCCAACAAAGTTAAGGTTACATTCGTATTTACATAACTGTGGACCTTTTGATATGAATATTTTTAAATATATCTATCAATAAGTGATAATATCTTCAGAGACAGCCCATAGTCATTCTCGCCATAATTATCATAAAGCCTGAACACAGTCAAGGTATACACATATAGTATATAACATATAAACAAAGAGGTTGGACGTAAAAAGCGCCATCTGTGTAAAATAAAGCTAACTAATATTTTTTTTTTAACTGTCAAATTTGAATAATTATTTTTATTGTATAAATTTGTTT